TTAAAATGGATCTTGAAAGTGCTTGAAAAGTGCTTGATTTTGACTTTGGAAAAGGTGTACGAACCCTGAAGATAATTAGATAATATGCACTTGAAATAAAACTGCAATTGTGTTTTCTTGTTTTAAGGGTAAATTGTCTTCTTCCATTGGCAAAATGTCTCTTTTGCGTCCTTAATTCAAGAACAAATGCACTTATTTAAGATTTTTTTCCAGTGTGCAGAGTTAATTTCTCCCTTGTGAGATGAATAAATTTTAATTTATTTTTCTTTATTTTGTCAGTTAAGGCCAGTAGCAGCATGTAGATTTTACTAAGTGTTTAGGAAGTTATTTCACCAGACTTTTAATCGTCCGATGATGCGAACTGATGCCGTCTGATAACTTTGTTAGATTTTGTCACAGAACCACCGTATCATGTTTACCTTTCAGTGGATGTTTGAGGAAATGTTTTATAAACTGTGTTTACAGAAAGTCCTAAACATGTGGTGGGGGGAAAAAAAATCCACCAGAAGGATCCTTTTTTTGACAACTGGATGAAATCAGAATCAGTTAAATTTGGCTGGTTCCATAATCACTGGAGTTAAAACACCATCTCTTCATATGCCACCAACAATCCCCTGATCCCCCCTAGAAATCAGAGCACATCAACCTGGTTTTAAAGTTCTTTAAGGTTTTTAAAGGTCTGATTTTCAGTGCTACAGAGAATAGCCTTGAAAACTCTTGCATTAGTTAATAAATCCCTGAACGGTTCAGGTCTACAACACATTAAAGAGTTCCTCTCATCGTATCGACCTTCCAGAACAATCCGGCCTTTTGGTTCCAGTCTGCTTTCTAACCCCAGAACCAAACAAGCTGAAGCAGCTTTTGGCTTCAATCTGGAACAAACTCCCAGAAAACAGCAGAAACTCTGGATTCCTTTATCTAGACTGAAGACCTGCCTGTGTGGAGCTGATTAGGCTGCTCTAAGCTAAATATTTATTCAACATTATGATCTATGAAAGTTTTTATGATTTAGTTTGTTGATTCTGATGTTTTTCTTGCTTTTAATGCACATTTGTTCAGATGTTTTAAGGAACTAAAAGGTTCTATAGAAATAATGTTGTCATGTCCCCTGTCAGCCAGTAGAGGGCACTGCAGGACTGCAGCCAAACTTCTGGGTCTGGCTGCAGCCCTCTGCTGAAACCAAAACCTGAACACCAATTCTCATCATTGCAGGAGAGGAGCCTGAGGTTAAAGGTCATGAAGCTTTATTTCCTTCACTTGATAAGACATAGCCAGTGAATGTCGGGGCCAGAAATTGACTTCTGGACCTCCTTACACGCTATGAGTGGTGCTGGTTATGGAGCGGTCAGTTGCAGTAGTCCTCCAGGTGGTTGATGCTGCACGGCCTGTGGCAGCACTGCTCCACGATGCCTCTCTTCACCTTGGGCTTTTCACGGCCGGACAGAACCTTCCACAGATGCTCCTCCTCTCTGGCCCTTTTTGACAGCATCCCTTTGAAGCACAGACAGTTTTAGTTCCTCCATGCTAATGTCAGTATTGATCTAGTTTACGCTTCAGTGGCGGAAAAATATGATGCAGAAGCGTGACGTAAGAGATCCTTCCTGGTGGCTTCGAGAAGCAACAAATTCTCCGATTTAAGATCTGAATAATGTTTTCAGGGAAAAGATTAATAAGGAATGTTGGTGTTGGAACAAATATATATAAAGTTTTCTTATATTTACTTATTACTGCTAAAATGTGCTACAAATATTTATTTCTACTTTACTTAGTTCACTCTACACAACACCAATGAGATCAGGTGGATATAGAGTAAACAGTAGATCAGGGGCGGATTTAGGAAATGTAGGGCCCTAGGCAAAAACAGGCTTGGGTCCCTCTGAATTGCCAAAATGTTAATAGAATAGACATCCATTATCTGTTCTAGGTTGTGTCCCTCTCTTCTTGTCCCTTTTCTTCTTGTTTTCCTCTCTATGTTTTGTACTCAGCTGACTTTTCATGCTGTCTCTAAAGGAATGAAAGATTTTTTCTAAGCTCACTTAGCTGATTGCTCCTTCCTGTGTTTCCAAAAAGGCCCAAGTAAATAACCCAGTCCTTC